AGCTCACTACAGCATCAAACTCCTGGACTCAAGGGATCCTCACTAGAGAAATTTTGAAAGGGAAAAGGTTTTGCTCTCTCCACCTCCACTCAAAAGATCCTTTCTCTCTCCATCAATAATTGAATTAATACTTACAGTTACCTTTTACTGACTGTTGATCATTTGTCAAGCACTGTTTTAAGAGCTCCAGAGATTAATTCATTAATACAGTAATGTTACCATGTAGAAATTCTTATCTCTATTTCACAGGTGAGAAACCAGGCACCAAGAGCCAACCAAAAGAGCCTTCCCAAGTCATCCCCCGACCACAAATTTCAGGCAATGAAACATGACAATGAACTACATTTGATCCACCGTATGAGATGCCTCATTAAAAGAAAATGCGCAAGAGCCAAAAGACGGACACCACCAAGTGTCCATAAATGGATGAATGGATAAAGAAGATGTGGTATAGACAACGGAATATTATTCTGACTTGAAAAGGAAGGAAATTCTGACACATGCTACAACATGGATGAGCCTTGAAGACATTATGTCAAGTGAAATTAACCAGTCACAGAAGGACAACTACTGTATAATTCCACTTATATGAGGTCCATAGAGGAGTCAAATTCTCAGAGACAGAAAGTAGAATGGAGGTTACTTGTATTCATGTGTTCTCATGTTGCTAATAAAGACATACCGAAGACTGGGATATTTATAAAGAAAAAAAGATTTAATGGACTCGCAGTTTGACATGGCTAGGAAGGCCTCACGATCATGATGGAAGGCAGGGGAGGAGCAAAGGCACGTCTAACATGGCAGCAGGCAAAAGAGAACGTGCAGGGGAACTCCCTTTTATAGAATCACCAGGTCTCACAAGACTTATTCGCTATCACAAGAACCGCATGGGAAAAACCTGCCCCCATGATTCAATTACCTCCCACCGGGTCCCTTCCACTGACACATGGGGTTTATGGGAGCTACAATTCAAGATGAGATTTGGGTGGAAACACAACCAAACCATATCACCATGGATATGGGGGAAAATGGAAATGCAGAGGGAGTGTTTAAAGGGTGCAGAGTTTCAGTTTGGGAAGATGGAAAAGTTCTGGAGATGGATGGTGGTGATGGATGCACAATGTGTGAATGTACTTAATGCCACAGAACTGTACAGTTAAGAGTGGTTAAAATGCTAAGTTTTATGTTATGCGTATTTTACCATAAAAAATGGATTTTTGCATGAAAAAAGAAAGAGAGACATTAAAAGCATTCATTCATGCATGCTTCATTCTTTTAAAAAAAAACCTCAATAAAAAACTCAACATTGTAGGCTGGACATGGTGGCTCACATTTGTAATTCCAGCACTTTGGGAGGCAGAGGCAGGCAGATCACTTGAGACCAGGGGACTTGAGCCTGGAAGTTCAAGACCAGCCTGGGCAATATGGCAAAACCCCATCTCTACAAAAAATACAAAAATTAGCTGGGGTGTGGTGGCGGTGCGGGGTGCCTGTAAACCCAGCTACTCAGGAGGCTGAGGCAGGAGAATCGCTTGAACCAGGGAGGCAAAGGTTGCAGTGAGCTGACATTGAGTCACTGCACTCCAGCCTGGGCTACAGAATGAGACTGTCTCAAAAAAGCCACCTCAACATTGTAGAGTCCTTCCATTCATTGCACAAAGATGTGAGCAGTACCAGGCAGTTACTAAGCAGTAGGGGGACAAGGTTAAATCAGGAGCAGTGCTCTGAAGACATACTGGCAAGTAAATAAACTAGTACAGTAAGATCACAGCCACTAGTACAGACATGGTGCCTACTACGCGCCCTCACTCCTTCAGGTGTTATACCTGCATTAACTCACATAATCCTCATGGCAGTCATTTTGGGTTTTTTTTTTTTTTTTGAGACAAGGTCTCGCTCTGTCGTCCAGGTTGGATGGAGTGCAGTGGTGCAATCACAACTCACTGCAGCCTCCACCTCCCAGGCTCAAGCGATCCTCCTTGCCTCAGCCTCCTGTGACAGTCATTCTTATCCTCATTCTACGAACAAGGAGACTGAGGCTCAAAGAAGTTAAGAAAGTTGGCCAAGGTTATAGAGGATTCATCACACCCATGCAGTGTGGCTCAAGGTCAGTGGTTCTAGCCAAAAGGTATGAGATGGAAGAAGCAATGAAAAACACAGTCTCAGAACGCAGTGGCCACCCAGAGATGGTGAGTGCAAATAGGCCGTGGAGTTTAGGAAGGATTCCTGGAGGAAGAGGCTTTTGAGCTAAGTTCCAGAGCAGGGGTTGTCAAAACCACAACCTGTAGACCAAATCCGGCCCACTGCCTAGTTCTGTGAAGTTTTATTGGAACACAGCCGTGCTCATTTGTGTAGATTGTCCATAGCTGCTTTTGCAGTATAGGGGCAGAAACCATACGGCCTGCAAAGCTGAACACAGTTATCATCTAGCGCTTGACAGAAGAAGTTTGCCAACCCTGTTCTACAGAATTAATAGGAAAATAGTTCATGAAAGATAAAGGGAAGGTGCACAGGCCAACTCGGTGCCAACTTTGCCTTCTCTAGATATCTTACCCTCTTCCAGTCCTTCTTCCACTTGATGTCACCACCACAGCACAGGCAGCCTTCCCCACTCCCTGGGCCTCTTCCAGAGCCCGCTAACCACTCTATCCATCCATTCCTTTTTTTTTTTTTTTTTTTTTGAGACACAGTCTCACTCTGTCGCCCAGGCTGGAGTGCAGTGGCAAGATCTCAGCTCATTGCAACCTCTGCCTCCTGGGTTCAAATTATTCTCCTGCCTCAGCCTCCCGAGTAGCTGGAATTACAGGTGCATGCCACTGTGCCCAGCTGATTTTTTGTATTTTTAGTAGAGACAGGGTTTCACTATATTAGTCAGACTGGTCTCTAACTCCTGACCTCAAGCGAACCTCCTGCCTCTGCCTTCCAAAGTGCTAGGATTACAGGTGTGAACCACCACGTCCGGCCCCTGCATCCATTCTTAACTGCTGCATCCCGTCTGCCACCCAGGCAGAAAAGAAATCAACAAAAGGACAAGCTTGGACCCAAACACTGTCTGCTTAAAACCTTCAAAGGCTCCCCATTGTTCTTAGGTGAGAATCCAAACCCTTCACGAGGCCTACCCAGACCCGCCTGCCCCTTCTTCCAGCTTCGTCCCGGATGCATCTTTTGCCTTGCTGCTGTCTCTGGAATCCTCTTCCCACCAACTTTCGGCCACTCAACTCCCTGTTGATCTGTTCTGGGTGGCAATGTCCCCTGCTTCTCTGCTCTACCCAGTGTGGGTCCCATGAGAATCTCTGGCTCACCCACCCTTGCTCCCTCCCTATAAAAATGTTGGAATGATTTCACGGAAACTTCTGTTTCGAGGCCAGGCACGGTGGCTCACTCCCGTAATCCTAACACTTTGACAGGCCGAAGTGGGAGGACTGCTTGAGCCCAGGAGTTTGAGACCAGCCTAAGCAACATAGCGAAACGCTGTCTCTACAAAAAACTAAAAAACTTAGCCAGGTGTAGTCGCTCACACATGTAGTCTTAGCTGCTTGGGAGGCTGAGGTGGGAGGATCGCTTGAGTCCAGGAGTTCAAGGCTGCAGTGAGCCGTGATTGTGCCACTGCACTCCAGCCTGGGCAACAGAGCAAGATCATCTCAGGAAAAAAAAAAAAAAAAAGAGACAGAGAGAGAGAAGAAAAGAAAAATAAACTTTACTTATTTTTTGTCTCTTCTGGAGTACCAGACTAAAGGGTGGCAGATGTACGTGGGCTGAAGCTACCACTGTAATTTCCATCAAACCCTGCCTTCAGCCCATGAATCCCCCCAAAGATACAGACACAATAAAAAAGGGCACAGTTTTTTTGTTTGTTTGTTTGTTTTGAGACAGGGTCTCACTCTTTTGCCAAGGCTGGAGTGCAGTGGTGTGATCTTGGCTCACTGCAACCTCTGCCTCCCAAGTTCAAGCGATTCTCCCACCTCAGCCTCCCCAAGTAGCTGGGATTACAGGCATGCACCACCACACTTGGCTAGTTTTCTGTATTTTTAGTAGAGACAGGGTTTCACCATGTTGGCCAGGCTGGTCTCAAATTCCTGACCTCAAATGATCTGCCCACCTTGGCCTCCCAAAGTGCTGAGATTACAGGCGTGAGCCACTGTACTTGGCCTTAAAAAGGCGTACTGTTCTGCAAATACAAATTCAAGGCAAGTTCCCTCTGACCTGACTATCATCCAAGTTCTTTCTGTGTGTATAAATTTCACAGCCACCACTGTTCTTCCAGGAGAATGTCAAATCCCCAGAGGCCAGGGCCCGTGTTTATATGGCTCCTCATTTTATTCCTAGTGCCTAGCGCAGCATCTGGCACCCAGTGGGAATCTAAATTTGCATTGAGCAGGGAGTATAGATTCCATCCAAAGAGGACTCCAAGAGCCAACCTGGAGGTGTGAAACAGCATGACGCAAAATGCCTAAAGGGCAAGCTGGTGTGGGCATAGCGGGCTGACGACAGAATCGGGCAGTGCTGCAGACTCCTCAGATCCAAAAAGCACCCCATCCCTCAGCAGGAAATCCCTTTAGACTGTTATGGTTCTGTTGAGGCCTTTGGAAGTCAAAGGTTACACTTCCAAAGATGCTGCTGTGGGCGGAGAAGATGTGTTGGAGTGACAGAGACAATGCGCTGCCGGGCTCCGTTCTCTGCACCTGTCATGCTCAGTCACATGGGTTTTAGATGGAGAATAAGGGGTCCTGGGAGCGTCACAGCCTCTTGGGGACAGCCAGGCCAAGTTCCAGGCTCCATCCTCCAGTGAGCAAGACAGGATGGACCCTGGATGCTTAAATCCCCCCAGGAAGCTCAGCCCTTGGCCGCTTTTAGAAAGAACAAGACCACAGACCTTGGGGAGGGAGGGTACTGGTTTGGCACCAGGGGCAGGGCCAGCTTGGCCCAGAAACTGCTCAGATTCACGGGAGGAGGGTGAGGGCTTGGCAGAGAAGGCAGGGGTCCTGGGAGGATCTGCTCACCTTCGCCAGCTGTGTCTGCAGCTTATTCTTCACGTCCGTCACCTCGGAGATGTGGGCGTTGAAGGCCAGGTTGGTGTCTGTGAACTGCCTCCACATCTGATCCGACAAGGTCTCAAAGAGGTGCTCCGCCTCCTCCCGCAGCCGGATGGAGTCGGCCCGCATGTTCTGAGAGTGCTTGATGTTGTCGTTACTGAACTTGGCCCAGGTCTCGGGTACGGAGATCCTGCAAAGGCACAGGGACGAGTTGCTGCAGCCCTGGGAGACCTCACAATCTGCGGTTTCTCAGCCTTGGCAGTCTTGGCCTCTGGATCGGGATTATTCTCTCTCCTGTGCATTGTGGGATGTTTAGCAGCATCCCTGGCCTCTACCTACTAGATGCCAGCAGCTCCCGGACCACCCCATTGTGACAACCAAAAAATGGCTCCAGACATTGCCAAGTACCCTCCTGGGAGAGGGCACAGTCACCCCTTGCTGAGAACCACTGTCCTGATCCAACACCCTCATTTTACAGGGGAGGCAAGAGAACCCTAAAGAGAGCAGCTGGTCGGCAGAAGGGCACTCAGTGAGTGGGTCAAAGAGAGGGGCTCCCTCAGAGAGCTCTTTTCCCTAACACCCACACCACTGCCACCAGAAACACAACACGGACAAGCCAAGAAGCAGGCATTGGGCACAGAGAGGGTTCAGGGACCCTCCAACTCTGCAATGAGAATGTGGCCACGCTACTTTCACTGCCATTCATTCATGGAATATTTCTTCAACTTCTACCACATGCCACGCATTGTTCCAGGCACTTAGGAGAGAGCCATGAACAAGAACAGCAACATCCCTGTCCTCGTGGCGGTTAATTGCCAGAGAAGGAAGATTGACAGTGAACGAGGAGATAGTTACACATTGTGTTATGTGCTGGGAAGGGATTTAGAAACTGGAGGGCCGGGCCAGCCATGCCTCTAATCCCAGCATGCTGGGAGGCCGAGGAAGGCAGATCAGTTGAGCCCAGGAGTTCAAGACCAGCCTGGTCAATGTGGTGAAACCCCCATCTCTATAAAAAATGCCAAAAAGAAGTACCTATGTGTGGTGGTACATGCCTGTGGTCCCAGCTACTTGGGAGGCTGAGGTGGGAGGATCTCTTGAGCCCAGGAGTTCAGGGTTGCAGTGAGCCATGATTGCACCACTGCATTCCAGCCTGGGCAACATAACAAGACCCTGTCTCAAAAGCAGCAGCAGCAGCAGGAGGATGAAAGAGACAAACGGAGTGGTGTCATTATGTGTTGGTCAGGGTTGTAAACGGGAATAGATGAATACTCGGAAGGGTGTTGAGATGGTCAGGGATTAGAAAACGCATGAAGTGCTGAATTCGGTGGCTCATGGCTGTAATCCCAGCACTTTGGGAGCCCAAGGCGGGAGAATCACTTGAGGTCAGGAGTTCGAGACCAGCTTGGCCAACATGGTGAAATCCCGTCCCTACTAAAAATACAAAAATTAGCTGGGTGTGGTGGCATGTGCCTGTAATCCCAGCTACTCGGAAGGCTGAGGCAGGAGAATCGCTTGAACTGGAAGTTAGAGACTGCAGTGAGCCAAGGTCACGTTGCTGCACTCCAGCATGGGCAACAGAGTAAGACCCTATCCCCACCACTAAAAAATAAAAAGAAACCGCATGACGTTGTCACTATCCCAGCTGTAACGGGCAAGAGAAAAGGAAGCAGTAAGTGTTATAACAGCCCCAGAAGAGAAGGAACCATGGTCGACTACAGTGTCTGGGAGGGAGGTAGCAGGGGAAGAAATCGTAGCCTCTCCCCTCCCACACTCTGTCTTCTGCTGGTGCCCCTCCTCCTGGCTGAACCCATCTGGAAATCAAAGGACAGAGAGCCCAGGAGAGGAGGTCTGCAGAGGAGAGTCTGTTGTGCAGGACACACAGTGTGGCAGCTGGAGAATGGATCTGGGGAGATCAATGGACAGGGACACAGGCTACATTAGCAAAGGCAGGCAGGGAAGGCTTCTCGGAGGTGGTGACACATGAGCAACTCCTCAGTAAAGTTCTTCCTGGCAGAGCATGTAAATCCCTGCAACAAGCAACCAATGGACCACGTGGGGTTTTCTCATCTGGGAAGGCTTTGAGGAAGGGCATGCATTTCTTTGAGTTGGCTTCAGGTCCTGGATAAACCAGACTAGGTAATTTCTCAAGGTCTTTTCTGGTCCAGGAAGTCTCCAGTTCTTAAATAAAGCAGATTTTTATACTTTCCTTCTTTCCTTTTCTTTCTTTTCTTTCTTTTCTTTCTTTTCTTTCTTTCTTTCTTTCTTTTCTCGGCTCACTGCAACCTCTGTCTTCCAAGTTCAAGCAATTCTCCTGCCTCAGCCTCCCAAGTAGCTGGGACTACAGGCGAGCACCACCACGCCTGGCTAATTTTTGTATTTTTAGTAGAGATGGGGTTTCACCATGTTGGCCAGGATGGTCTGGATCTCTTGACCTCGTGATTCGCCCACCTTGGCCTCCCAAAGTGCTGTAATTATGGGCGTGAGTCACCACACCCGGCTTCTTTTCAGACATTTTAAAGCACACTTAGGTTGCATGGTGCATAGAAAGTATTAAAAATCATATAGTATGTGTGATTGTTTTGCCCGGCTTTTGTAGGAGTTAAAAATCAAGCAATAAACAGGCATCTCGGGCTTCTGGAGATAGGAGTGGTACTATGTCAGGTTCAGAGCTTCATCCCACCAAGACCTGAGGCTCCGAGAGTGAGGCATCTTGTTCGAGGCCGCACAACAACGCCCCATCCCAGAACACGGAGGAAAGAGGAGATGATAAGGACAGCAGAGAGAAACACGCAGATTTACTGTGAGTGTCTCTGTTGCCTCTGAACGGGGGGACACTGTCAATGTCATGAACAGTAACCTCTAAGCCCTTGTTCTCCCCTGCAACAGAAGCTGAGCTCCCCAGAGAAAATAACGTGCTTAATGACATTCTCCCTGGGGAGGAATTTGCCAAAGACAGTCTGCCTCCTCAGCAGGCAGTGTGCCTCAGGAGGGGGAAGTGCTTTCTGGAGTCTACGTCCACTAAAGATGGAGAAGACAGCTGGCCTTGCTGGAGATGCAGGAAGGCACCATTGGTAAAACACACAGGCTCAGTATTCAGTGCCGATTCAGAATCACAGCTCTGTCATTTGCTGTGTGAGCTTGAGCCAATCGATTCACCTCTCTAAGCCTTAGTTTCCTCATTGTAAAATGGAGATAATGGTACTAACCCCCAGGGTTGCTGAGTGTTTAAATGTGAAGTCCTTATCACGGCACTGGACAGAGTAAGCGCCCGAAAAATATTTATTATTCATGAGATGTTGCACATGAAGCTGTCAGCACAATGTCTAGCACATAGCAGACACCAGGTAAAAGGTGTCTCTTCCTGGCCAACATGGTGAAACCCTGTCCCTACTAAGAATACAAAAATTAGCTGGGCGTGGTGGCACGTGCCTGCAGTCCCAGCTACTTGGGAGGCTGAGGTAGGAGAATCACTTGAACCTGGGAGGCAGAGTTTGCAGTGAGCTGAGATTGTGCCACTGCACTCTGGCCTAGTGACAGAGCGAGACTCTGTCTAAAAAAAAAAGGTGTCTACTGCCATCATCATCATCATCACTGTTAATCTAGAAAATAGAGATACTGCAATTCAGACATTCACCAAACATCCTCTTTCATCCGCCCAGACATAGCCCTGCTTTAAGAAAACCCCAAGGCTGGGCGTGGTGGCTCACACCTGTAATCCCAGCACTCTGGGAGGCCAAGGCCTGAGGATCAACTGAGGTCAGGAGTTTGAGACCAGCCTGACCAACATGCAGAAACCCCATCTCTACTAAAAATACAAACAAATTAGCTGGACGTGGTGGCGCATGCCTGTAATCCCAGCTACTCGGGAGGCTGAGGCAGGAAAATCGCTTGAACCTGAGACGTGGAGGTTGTGGTGAGCCGAGATCGCACCATTGCACTCCAGCCTGGGCAACAAGAGCAAAACTCCGTCTTGAATAAGTAAATAAATAAGAAAACCACAAATACAAAGCCCCAAGCTAGCACATCTGGGAAGCAATTAATTGCCACAAACAGCGGCTCTCTTCTGCAGATGGAGTCTCTAGATGGGGGACTTCAAGTAGCAGGTCCCTCCTGGGTGTAGACATTGGAGGCTCTGGGGCTGCCAGGTTTCTGGAGAGGAATCTGTTTGGGAAGAGAGACCCTCCGGACTCCCTGTGTAGATGAGGGGGGCCAAGCCCCCAAAGTCCTGCTCACCTTGCCAGTGCCATGGGGGACAGCACCTTGTCAGGAAGAGGAAGAAAGTCTCCAGGAGTTGTCATTACCGTAAGTCCCAAAGGGTCACCTCAGCACTTCGACATTTGTAAGATCCAGAAAGTGACCCCAGGCTTGGGCCAAGGAGATTGCCAAGGAATACCGTCCTTCTCGCTCCCCTTCCTCCCTTCCTGTGGTTCTTCTTTCCCTCCCTTCCTCCTTACACTCATTCTTCCATTCAATAAAAATTTATTGCATACCAACATGTGCCAAGCACAATTCTATGTACTAGAGATTTTTTTTTTTAAACAGAAGAAGGCGGAACTAAGATAGACCCCACCTTCTTCCTCATCCTAAGCATCTCTCAGACCTCAGACTACCAAGTGGGAAGCATGTTTTCATTCTGCATAAAATCTCACAATTCTGTGATATGCCCAGGATCATGACAGGCTCACAGAAGGCACCACCTCGTAGCTGCTGTGACGAGAAAATGAGGTCACACAGTAAGCACTCGATAAATGTTGGCTGTTATTATTCTATACTAGGCTCTGTGCTTAAAACTTCATACACCCACCTTTTTCATACTCACAGCAGCCCTGGGAATTGAGTACTAATTTTCTCCCAGAGGTATAGATTCAGAAACGGCCCAAAGAAATGAAGTGACTTGCTCTGTGTTAGCGTAGACGCTGGGATTTGAAGCCAGGCAACCTGGCTCCAGACTCCACTCTCTCTCTCTCTCTCCCTCTCTCTCTGTGGCTGGTCTGGAAAACTCCTGGAACTCCTGGCCTCAAGCAATTCTCCAGCCTCAGCCTCCCAAAGGGCTGTGACTACAGGGGTAAGCCACCACACCTGGCCAGGCAAGAATTCACTCTCTTAAACCACTATCGGCATCAGCTGACCCCAGGTGGCCTCCCTGCCAAGCTTGTCACTCGTTTGGGAATTTCTTTTTTGGTGAAACTGCTGAGCGGCAGTGGCTGTGCGACCCTCACTAAGCCAAAGGCATGCTCTCTCGAAATTTGGATCTTGAACAGTGGGGCAAGGATGGAAAGATGAAGGCACTCTGACCACACAGCTCCCCCTGCCAGGACCTTCCTCTCCAGCCTTCCCCTTGAGTTCGTGGCTCCCCCATAACCCCTTGGGTAAATCCATTTTGTCTTAAGTTAACCCAACTTGGATTCTGCCGCCTGCACTGGAGGATCCCCGTTCGACCACACTACTTCCCACTTAGCTGGCGCACGATGCCACTTCGCCATTCGTTGGCAGGAGCAGAAGCCCTCACTCCAGTTGGACACGCCAGGGATGGGGAGGGGGTGTCTAATACTTACGTGCCATCAATTTTCTCCATGCCGTGGAAGAAGCTGATGCAGTCTGACGTATTTCTCAGGTTAAAGCACTTCTCATCGATGCACTGCGCCGAGCTTTTATCCTCGAGGTCCCTCTCCAGGGCGTGCTGAGCATCTCGGTTATCCCTGCAGGGAGGGAGGAGTCATTCCTGGACTGTGCACCTGCCCAGAATTCCCAGCCTGGGCCACACAGCAGGTGTGTGTTACAAGCCCTGGTCCCCCAGGAAGCCCCCCAGTAGCTTCTCAGTCCTCTTCCCACCTCAATGCCCCACCACATACCCAGAGGCTCCCCCTAATCCAAACAGATTTGCCCTTTATTCTTTTTTTTTTTTTTTTTTCCCCAGAGTCTCACTCTGTCACCCGGGTTGGAGTGCAGTGGTGCAGTCATGGTTTACTGCAGCCTTGAGCTCCCAGGCTCAAGCACTCTTCCCACCTCAGTCTCCTGACTAGCTAGGACTACAGGCATGCAGCCACCAGCCTGATTAACTTTTTAAATATTTTGTAGACACGGTATTGCTGTGTTGTGCAAGCTGGTCTTGAATTCCTAGGCTCAAGTGATCCTCCTGCCTCAGTTTCCCAAAGTGTTGAGATTATAGGCGTAAGCCACCACACCTGGCCCCTGTTGTCCTTTAGAAGAAGGATGGGTAAGCATTTACTGTAAAGTGTTGCATGATAAATATTTTAGGCTTTGTGGGTCATATGGTCTCTGTTGCAACTACTGAACTGTGCACGAAAGCAGTCGCAGATATGTAAAAATGGTTGCGGCTTCATCTCAATAAAACTTTATTTAAAAAAACAGATTGTGGGCCAGATTTGTCCCTCCAGCTGTAGCTTGCTGACCTAATTTAGAAGATATCAATCCATACTTTGGACAACGTCTGATGCAAGTCAAATCACTTCGTAAATCCATCATTGTGTCTGACCCTATGCTGCGCACCAAGGGATGAGACATGAATAAGATGACACAGTCACTGCCTTCAAGTTGCTCACAGATTTGTGTGAACAAATACTATATACACACACATACACACACACACACACACATATATATATATCTCAGAACGGTAAGGCCATTGTGCAGGTTTGAAAATACAAAATAACACAGAGGAGGAAACCGTTAATTGAGGATGAGAGGGTGGTCAGGGAAGGCTTTCCAGGAGGTGTCTGAGCTGGGTTTTCACAATAAATTGAAGTAGACATTATGGGGGAATTGCTGCTGGCGGAATGAGAATTCCAAGCCGAGAACATCACATGTGCCAAGGCAGAGAAGCTAGAAACACCAGATGTTTAGGGACCTCGGGATCAGGAACTGGGCGGAGTCAGGGGCTAGGTTAGGACAGGGACTAGGTGGAGTCAGTGACTGGGTGAAGACAGAGATTGGGTGGGTTCAGGGACTGGGTTGGGTCGGGGGCTAGGTGAAGACAGGAATTGGGTAGGGTTGGGGCTGGGTGGGGTCAGAGACTGCGCTGAGGTAAAGAGAGGACAATGGATCAGGGCCAGGGCTTAAGCCAGGAGGGCTGGTTGGTATCTTGGCTAAGAAACTTAGACTTAAAGATTACTGCCAAATTCCAGACATTTGAGAACCACTTCCATGATTCTTGTCAAATACCAAACTCTACTTATTTTTCCTTTTTAAAATCACTTTTATTTAATTAATTTTTTTTTGAGACGGAGTTTCCCTCTTATCGCTTAGGCTGGAGTGCAGTGGCAGGATCTCAGCTCACTGCAACCTCCGCCTCCTGGGTTCAAGGGGTTCTCCTACCTCAGTCTCCCTAGTAGCTGGGATTACAGGCACCCGCCACCACTTCTGGGTGATTTTTGTATTTTTTTAGTAGAGACGGGGTTTCATCATGTTGGCCAAGCTGGTCTTGAACTCCTGACCTCAGGCGATCCGCCTGCCTTGGCCTCCCAAAGTGCTGGGATTATAGGCATGAGCCACCGCATTCAGCCTAAAATCACTTTTAAAATGTAAATAAATGTATGATAAAATGAAATTTTACATCCCTGACTTTAAAGAAAAACCCATCACCCTTTCCATTGATAGAAGATCACCTCAGACCTAAATATTAATACTAAGTAGGCACTCACTAAATATTAATAAATATTAATACTAAGTAGGCACCTACTAAATCCTAGCTAGAATCTACTTCCTCCAGAAGGTTCTAAGCCTAGACCTTTTTCTGTTTCCCTGTTGGCTGAAAAAAGAGAGATCAGTTGATGTTACAGACACATAAGCCGCAGCTGAAACTTTGCCTTGGAGTGTTTAGAAGAATTGTAAGAGCAGAGAAGGGCATAACTTCCATTAAGTGAGGGTATGTCAGACACCAGCTAAACTGAGTGTCTCTGTTCTCTTTCTCTCTCTCTCCCTCCCTTCTTGTGTCTATGTCTCTGTCTCTCCAACCTTTGTCTTTTTCTTGGTTTCTCTCTGTCTCAGCCTCTGTGTGTCTCTCTGGGTGTCCCCCTCCGTCTCCTCCATCTATATCTTTTTTTTTTTTTTTTTTTCTGTTATGGATGTTGGTTGCGGGTGAGGGATTTCCAGCAGGCCAGGAGCCAGGAAGTGAAATCCTGACAGTAGTGGGGGTTCCCACCTATCAGGAAGCATGGGTCACATCGGAGCAGGAGGAACCCCTGACCCGGGGCCCTTGGGGTTTCCAAATTGGCAGAGCCCTGGAGAAATGGGGCCCTGTCCTGCCGAATGAGCTGGAACGTGAAGCGAGGCCAGGATGTGGAAAGCAAACATGTCAGAGAATTAGAGGGAAACCTGGGGGCCTCAGAGTCCAGCGTGTCCAGCTGCCTGGCCCTTGCCATGAGGCCTGGGGAAAGAGGAGGCAGTCCTGTCCTCCCTACTTGGCCCACAACCAAGGGCCGGATCAGCGCCAAGCTCACCCTGCTGTCAGCCCACCAGGAAAAGCCCAAGCATGACTTCCTCTGTCAGGAAGAGCCTTTTCTCACCTGGTGCGGCAAGGACACCACCCTGCCCAGATGCAGGCCTCAGGCTCCGCAGAAAACCATGAGCCAGCAGCCTGGTGTTGGCCACCTGAGCAGTTCAGCAGCAGAGCTTCCCCAAGCGCGTGAGGACACACCAGACTCTGCCTGGCTAATGAGGCTCTGGCCAGCTCTCAGTGAATCAGTATAATCCCAATCCCTCTGGCAGCACAAGCTGCCTCCCCGTGAGATGGCAGGAGTCATCTGACACACAGCCACTGCCCAGCGACAAACAGTCTCCATCCAGGGTGGCTCGGCCTCCAGTCTCCACAAAGCGAAATGCTGCCCTCACCTGCTCTCATCCTCTCCCTCACTCACTCTGTGCTTGCTTTCTCTCTCTCTTGCTCTTGCTGTCTGTCTCCGTTGCTCTCATCTCTCTCGGTCTCTATCCAAGCTCAAACATCTCTCTCTCTCTCTCTCTCTCTCTCTCTCTCTCTCTCTCTCTCTCAGACAGTCTTGCTCTGTGGCCCGGGCTGGAGTGCAGTGGCGTGATCTTGGCTCACTACAACCTCCGCCTCCTGGGTTCAAGCTATTCTCCTGCCTCAGCCTCCCGAGTAGCTAGGATTAGAGACATGCGTCACCGCCCAGCTAATTTTGTGTTTTTAGTAGAGACGGGGTTTCACCATTTTGGCCAGGCTGGTCTCGAACTCCTGACCGCAAGTGATCCACCCACCTCAGCCTCCCAAAGTGCTGGAATTACAGGCGTGAGCCACCGTACCCGGTCTCTTGTCCTCTTTCTCCATATCTGTCTCTCCTCATCTCTTTGCCTTTCTCTGTCTCTATCTCGTCTCTTGATTTCGCTTTCTGGCATATCTGACTCTGTGCCTCTCTGTCCCTCTGTCTCCCTACTCCCCATCCCTGTCTCTGTTTATCTCTTCATGTCTGTCTCTTTTGATGTCAGTGCTCATCTCTCTCTGTGTGTCTCTCAGTCTCTGGGACTGTCTCCATCTGTCTCAGTCTCCCTGGTTCTCCCAGCTCCCCCGGCCTCTGCTTGCATCATCTGGGGTTGCACAAGCAGCCTCCTGACCCCAGTCTCAGGATTTCTCCTCTGAGGTCCAGCTCCCCACTTCAAATCTGTGATTGGTTCACTCTGCCGGCTCAAACTACACCACTTCCCAAACGTCAGCCCTCCTGTCCCCACCAGCGCCATGGTTTGTCACATCCCATGGCAGTTACAAACGGAAAACCACTCTCTCTTGCCATAAATAGAAGATCACAAAAATAACTGGAAGAAAGAACAGAATAGAGAGCCCAGAAATAAATCCAGGCATTTACAGTCAATGGATTTTCAGCAAAGATGCCAAGAACACACAATGGAGAAAGGACAGCTTCTTCCTTTCTTTCTTTTCCAATACCATGTAAAAATGGTATTGATACAAGTGGAAATGTACATGCCGAAGAATAAGTTAGAGCTCTATCTCACACTATAGACAAAAATCAACTCAAAATAGATTAAAGTTTAGCCGGGCATGGTGGCGGGCACATGTAACCCCTGCTACTCAGGAGGCCGAGGCAGAAGAATCACTTGAACCCGGGAGGAGGAGGTTGCAGTGAACCGAGATTGCACCACTGCACTCCAGCCTGGGTGACAGAGGCAGACTCCATCTCAAAAAAAAAAAAAAATAATAGATTAAAGACTAAAATGTAACACCTGAAACGGTAAAACTACTAGAAGAAAACATAGGGGAAAAGTTCCATGACATTGGTCTGGACAATGACCCCAATAGCACAAGAAATCAAAGCAAAAATAGACAAATGAGATTACATCAAACTAAAAAGCTTCTCACAGCAAACAAAACAATCAAGAGAGTGAAGAGACAACCTGAGAAATGGGAGAAAATATTTGCAAACTATACCTCTGATAAGGGGTTACTATCCAAAATATATAAGGAACTCAAGAGCAAGAAAACAACCTAGCTTTAAAATGGGCAGTTATTGCGGCCCAATTTACGATAGCCAGGACATGAAATCACCCTAGGTGTCTCATAATAGATGAATGGATGAAGAAAATGTGGCATGTATACACGACAGAATACTACTCAGCCTTGAAAAAGAAGGAAATCCTGTCATTTGCGACAAGGATGAGCCTATAGGACATAATGTAAGGTGAAATAAGTCAGGCACAGAAAGACAAATATCTCATGATCTCCCCATATATGTGGAATCTAAAACAATCGAACTAATACAAGCACAGAGTAGAATGGTGGTTACCAGAGGCTGGGGGTGGGGGATTGAGGAGATGTTGGTCAAAGAGTACAAATTTCAGTTTGTCAGGGGGAATAAGTTCCAGAGACATGGTGACCATAGTTAATAACAATGTACTGTGTACTTGAAAATCACTGAGATTTTAACTGTTCTCACCACAAAAAATAAGTATGTGAGGTAACATACATGTTAAGTAGTTCAAATTAGTTCAATGTTTTGAAACATACATGTAATTTCAAAGCATCATGTTTTATATGATACAGCATATACCACTTTTGTCAATTAAAAATGAATAAGTAATTTTTTTAAAAGTGCAAGAAAAATGCAATAAAACAAAGACACTGGCCTGTCCCAATTCTCCCTTTGTTAAAGTTTGCCTGTTTAAATAAGAGTATTTAGGCCGAGCGCAGTGACTCACGCCTATAATCTCAGCACTTTGGGAGCCCGAGGTGGGCAGATCACCTGAGGTCAGGAGTTTGAGACCAGCCTGGCCAACATGGTGAAACACTGTCTCTACTAAAAATACAAAAAAAATAGCTAGGTGTGGTGGCATGGGCCTGTAATCCCAGCTACTCAGGAGGCTGAGGCCAGAGATACTTATGAATCTGGGAGGTGGAGGTTGCAGTGAGCTGAGCCCGCACCACTGCACTCCAGCCTGGACAGCAGAGTGAGACTTCGTCTCAAAAAAACAAACAAATAAATATGAATATTTAAGGAATTTTGTTTACTGAATTGATTTTTTATTTTTTATTTTTTTGAACTTTTGCAGGTACATAGTAGGTGTATATATTTGTGGGAGGTATTTTGATACAGGCGTGCAATTTGTAACAATCACATTAAGGTAACTGGGGTATCCATCCCCTCCAGCACTTATCATTTCTTTGTGTTACAAACATTCCCATTTATACTCTTTTAGCTATTTTTAAATGAGAAATAAATTACTGTTGACTGTAGTCGCCCTGGTGTGCTTAAGGTTTTTTTAAGCAAATCAATTTATAGACAAACTATACGTAACAGTAGTCCCGGTGACAGGTGGAATTGTGAGAAATTAGGACAGGGGCACACAAACCATCGAACTTCAACTCTGTTTTTGTCCTTTCAGCCATCATCCCTCCTGCTATATTTGCATCTTCTCTGTACACCTCCACCCCTGATGTCTTTCTAGGGGTCTCCAATGTGTCTGTCCCTGACCAAGCTCTTTGCTCTAAGGGTAACTTGCTTGTGATGTCTTTCTTCCTAACATCCAGCACTAACCACTTCGGGGGCTCCAAGGGCTCCTAGAGGAGGAGGTGGGTTCTGGGGTACAGCAAACCAAGATGTGTGCTCCCAGGGCTGCTTTGGAAGCTGCCCGGCCCCTCTGCTTCCACCCCAGCCGACCATGTGCACCAGGCAGCGGGACGGACAGCCACTGCCAGGTTGCCAGCCTGTCCCGTGCTTTCTGTGTCTCTGTGTCAAGAATGAATGAAGTGGAAAAACCAGCAGAGCAGCGTGCCCTGAAAGAGTTAAAGGTGAGTGCCAGATACAGGTGGAGGTGAGACAGCTGCTTCCAGGGGGAGCTGGTGCCAAGGGCTTAGCTATGGGCCCCAAGCCCTGTAAAACTTGTCTCCCTTTAATTATGAGGGGGGTCCCCAGGCTTGTCAGGATACTGGTTACATAATCTTGTAAGAACAAAAAGCTGATTTCTTTTGAAGACTTCTGGCTCAATGCGTCCAACAGCTCCCTTGCAGAGGTGCCCAGTCCCTGGCCCTGCTACCTAATACCACCCACCCTCTGTCATCTCCCAAGGTTTAGAACTCAAATGGGGAAACCACAGGCTAAGAGGGGCCTCAAGGAGGCCAGCTGCCTCTTGCCAGGGCTCTCGTTGTAAACAAGAGTAACAAGTGAAGTACCGGCTTGTGAGAGTCAATTGTGCACGTCTCAGTAACATCATATTAGCAGCTTAAAATCAGCCATTGTGTTAGCATTTACACCACCCAAACTGGCTGATCCTACATTCAGGACTCTTTTTTTTCCCCCAGAAAGCTGGTTGTTGAACATTTACCAGCACACCACTGACCAAAAGAACCACACAGAGACAAGTGGGCCCCTCTGGCTTATCCCCCAGAAACCTGGGAGTCCCAAAACAAACCCCAAGGAGAGGGAACTAAAAAAAAAAAAAAAAAGCCCTTACCGCATCTGGAGGTCAATCCTTTGAGCTAATTTTCTCATCTGTTGTTCGCAACATTTTAGCAAATCCACTTCCTGAAATGAAAAATGTCAGAAAGAGTGGTGCCTCTTAGAACCTCAGTCTTGTCTCTCAAGCCACAGCCCTCACTTCTCCCCTCCCCTCTCACTGACCACCCTCGACCCCAGGAGGTGAAATGTCAGCATGGGGCCCCTGCCTCAATCCACGTGACCCCAGGGCCAGGCAGCTAAGGGTTGATTATGGAGGCTCCACCATTGTTTTTCTTTTTATTGCCCTACTTTCTTTTTATAGACTCCCAGAAAAAAAGAAAATTTAGCACCTACTATGTGCCAAGCACTCACTTATAGATTATTTTATCATTACATTAAATAATGCATATGAAGTGGTATAGCCTATGACATATAGTAGGTGCTCAATAAACACTAGTTTTTATTATTGTTATTGGTATATTATTATCATGCCTATTTTGGAGATGAAAAGACTGAGAGTCAAATAATTCCATTTCTCCCTGTTCCTAAATTGCAAACTAGGCCTCCGCCCATGCTTCCTGAGCCCTAGCTTTCCACAGGGTGACACGTGTGGCTTCTGCTCCTGACAGGTAGCTCAGTAATTTCTCTGACCTGCTGGCCGTCCCACCTCCTTCCGGGGGCTGGGCAGACCTAAGAGATACCTTACCCGGATAAGGTTTTTCTCCACGTTGTCATGGACCAAATCAATCCCAATCCTCTTCTCTCGATGGTACAGACACTCCAAGGCCACCTGTGGGAAGCAGCATGATGAGCTTATTCTTCCTGCAGCTGTATGCAGACCCTGAGCAGAAGGTACTCACATCCACCCTTGCCACAATCTGTTCCTTTCTCCCGGAAACCTGGGTGCCTCATGTGACCTCATTACTGTGCATTGGATGGGCTTCTGCCTCCCCTTCTCACCGGATGAGAGCTGTGGGTTGCCACACGACCAATGCATCTGGAGATGGAAGGCCCATGTAGAGAAGGCAGGACAAGGTAGCATCTCAAGAACCAATTTGGATTCCCATAATTGCATCAGCAGCCCCAAGCCTTCCCCAAATACAATAATACATAGAGTAAAACTTCATAATAATTTCAGATAAGATGGTTTTGGCTGCCATTCTCCATGTAGCTTCTCTTCTGACTTCAATCGGGGCTTGGCCACTTCCTATTGTGTGCATTTGGGCAAATTGCTTAACCTCTCTGCTGGTTTCCTCCTATGCTGATGGGTGCCATATTGGTGCCTATCTCGCAAGTCCATTGTGCAGGTGAAGTCGACTTGACAAGTGTAAATCACTGAGAACATTGCCCAAAAATATTACCTGTGAATACGCATGAAAATCCCTCTTTGCAGATCTCCCAGTGGAGGGACAGTTTGGGGAGGTGGTCAGGACAACCCTGCCACACAGCCCTGGGTCTTACAACTCTCATGCAGACCTGGGCAGAGCAGAAGAGAGGACAGGAAAGGGGGCTTTTCAGGGGTGCTCTGTGACAGGAAGCTGACGAACAGCAGCGATTGGCAAACCAGCCTGTGATGTCACAAAGGGCTCAGGAGCAGAAGGAAGCAGGACATCAAGGTCTGGATGTCACGATGCAAATGTATGTGAGAACTCAGAAACGGGAGGGGGTCACTGACCCGTGCCACAAGGATTTCCGGAACCCCTTCTGTGAGTCATGCTCTGCTGAGGTGCTGGGGATAGCACAATGAACCAGGCTGAGAGTCCCTGCTCTCACGCAGCCTGTGTTCTACTAGGGGAGAGAACTCCCATAAGAAAATCAGGGTGGGCGCAGTGCCTCCTTCACGCCTGTAATCTCAATGCTTTGGGAAGCCAAGGGGGGAGGATCACTTGAGCTCAGGAGTTGGAGACCAGCCTGGGCAGCATAGCAAGATCCCATCTCTTCAAAAAATTTTAAAATTAACCAGACGTGGTGGTGCGTGTCTATAGTCCCAGCTCCTTGGGAGGCTGAGGTTGGAGGATCTCTTGACTCCAGGAGGTCAAGCAATGAGCCAAAATCATACCACTGCACTCCAGCCTGGGCAACAGAGCAAGACCCTGTCTCAAACAACAACAAACCAGGAACTCAATCATTTCCAACTGTGTGAAGGGCCAGGATGAAAATATTCAGGGTGATGTGAGTGGGTGAGGAGTAACCAGCAGAGTGGTCAGGGAGGAATTCTCTAAGGAGGAGAAGGACTGTGTCATGAGAAGCAGAGATGCAGACCTGGATAGAAATGCACCAGAAGGGAAAACAGCAGCTGCAAAGGCCCTGAGGTCGGCAGAGAAACAGACAGGAAGCCATTGGCATTGGATTAGAGGAAGTGAGACTGGAGCAATAGCGGGGACAGGGGTTATGGGGAGGAATGGAGGAATTCGGGAATTAAGATGTTAATTTCTTGGAGGCCATCAAGGCCATCAGTGGCTGCTGTGAGGACAATGGGTTGGAAGGGAGCAGGAATTGGGAGACCAGGAAGGAGGTGGTTGACATTGTGCAGGGAGAGGCTGCCTGGACTGTGGGGGCAGCCCGGGAGATGGAATTGAGATGTTGATGGTCCCCCTGCCACCATGTGGCTGATCAGAGAAAGCCAGATGTGACCAGGCAGAGCTGGACCTTCTAGACAGGATGGGGGAGTGAGAAGAGAGTGGGAGGGAGAGCAGTAGGTTTGGGATGCTGCTGTAGGGCTCTGAAAAGCAGCCCTGCCCATCCTCCTTCCCAGGGAGAATCTGGAGTTATATGGAATCTGCTCCCTGCATTGCACGGATTTGGACATCTCAGAGTGATGGAAACCTATGCCATGTCTCCCAGGAGGATCCGGAGGCAGGATCTCTCCTACAGAAGCCCCTGAAGCTGCAGGAGGCTTCCAGGCAAGAGGTCCTGAGTTCCCCACACACTCCAGGGAGCAGCCAGTCATCTTCCTGTGTGGTCAAAGTCAGTTCCCATAGGTGCTGCTGGTTCCTTAACCAGTGTCCACTCAACCCCTTCCATCACTTTCTCCTGGGTGCTGTGAGAAACATTCACTTATCCAGACCCCTTTGTATCCAGACCCAGGCGTGAGCCACTGCGCCCAGTCACATTTAGATATTTACTCATTTATTCAGCATGTATTTATTGCATGCCTACTCTGTGCTTCGCCCTGTCCTAGGCTGGGAATACATTCAAAACGTTAGTGTAAACAACATCAATCAGCACCGATATTGGTCATTACAGACCCACACAGACATACAGGTGCCCTGCACTGAATAGCAGTCTTGAATACATCAGTGACAACACAGGCAAAAGTCTCTGCCTTGATGGAGACGATCCTATATTCTAATATTCAATCAAGTATACATCATGTTAGAGGATAAGTATTATGGGGAAAAATAAGGTAGTTATGGGCCAGGTGCAGTGGCTCACGCCTGTAATCCCAGCACTCTGGTAGGTAGAGGCAGGCAGATCAGATCGAGACCAGCCTGGCTAACATAGCAAAACCTGTCTTTACTAAAAATACAAAAATTAGCTGGCCATGGTGGCGGGCGCCTGTAATCCCAGCTCCTCGGGAGGCTGAGGCACGAGAGTCGCTTGAACCCAGGAGGTGGAAGTCGCAGTGAGCCAAGATCGAGCCACTGCACTCCAGCCTGGGTGAGAGAGGGAGACTCTGTGTAATAAATAAACAAATAAATACATAAGTCAGTTATTTTAAGTATGTGCTTTAAGGACCGGAACACACACATGCTGAGGCATGCATATGTATGCACACAATACCTTCATGAAACCCCTGCAACTTTGATGTAGCTTCAAGGAGAAAAGGAAATTCTGTTGAGTCCAAGAAACCCTGATTTGACTGGGATTATCCTGAATTGACTAAGATTGTATTACTGATCACATTCGGTGGTGCAGCTCAAACTGACCTGCAAGGCGCCTGCCACCTTGATCTTCAGTCGAGGGAAGTGGAATGAGTGTGCAGTATCCCCATCACATGGCCACAGCCCTGTCCCCAACCCTGTACTCACCTGCAATGGGCAGTTCACCTCATTGGCCGCGCACTCCAGCCGCCTCTTGACCGTCTCCAAGTTCTGGTTCTCAGTCAGAAGTCTGTCCAGCTCATAGCTCAGCTCCGACTTCCAGAAACCGATGTCTGACAGTCTCTGGCCCAGGTTCCGGGTGGTGCCCTGCTGCATCTGCTGTGTCAACTGGTCCTTGTCCTGCAAGAGCCTCACGGAGTCGTCCGTCAGCCGGCTGGCCCACAGCCGGGAGGCCTCTGCCCCACGCACCTGCAGCTGGTTGGACTGGTCCCAGTCATGGGGGCTATAGCGAGAGAAGAGTGCTGAGCGCAACGCGGGCAGGGTGGTGGGTGGCCGCAGGGTGCTGGAGCTCTCATCCGGGCAGGTCTGGACGTTGGATATCTTGTAGAAGAGGCTAGGCCTCCATGAATTGAGGTAGCGGTACCCGGGCAGGTAGTAGGGCTGATAGCACTCCTGGATCACTGGAGCTTGTACAGCTGGCAGTGAGGTCAAGCCACAGCATTTCTTGGGGCCACAGTAACTGGCAGTCTGAGTGGTCCCAAGAAACTCCATCTTCCCCCATGAGCCCTGCTCGGGCAAAACTCTGCTCAAGGATCCAAAGTCATCACCAGGAAAGGGGAAAGTGCTTCTCCTGGGGACTGGCAGAACCTCTATGACTCAGCACTGGTGTCATAAAGCCTGGGGAGAGGGACTCTTAGCGGGGCCTTTGCTCACTTACAGGCCAGCTGGGGCCATATTGTCCAAAACAAAAAGACAAAACAATGATCGGCAAAGTGAATGTGAGTTTCGTAATCCACAGATTCGGTTGCAAGAAGTGACATTTTATCTTCCTATTAGAACGGAACTGTGTTCCCAGACCTAACTGGGCCCCATGGGAGGAAAATTAATGTAGTCTAGCCAGCGAATTCAATCATCTCAGGCCAATTTGGTCAAAGCGAGTTGTTTTCTTTCTTTCTTTCTTTTTGTCCCCAACATGGCATCCAAATGGTCCATCTGAGGTGAGGCATGGTAGCTCTTGCCTGTCACCTCAGCACTTTGGGAGGCTGCGGCTCGAGTACAGGAGTTACTAGTATGGGAGACTGGCCTGGGCAACGTATTGAGACCCCACCTCTACAAAAGAATTTTAAAATGAGCTGGGCACAGTGGCTGGTGTCTGCAGTCCCAGCTACTCAGGAGGCTGAGACAGGAGGATTACTTGAGTCCAGGAGGTGAAAGTGGCTGTGAGCTGTGATTGCTCCAACTGCACTCCAGCCTGGGTGACAGAGCAAGACTTTCTCCAAGAAAACAGAAGGACCATTGGCACCATGGGATACCACTCAGCAATACTACTCAAAAGAGCACGAATGAATCTCAAATGTTAAGCTATGTGGAAGCAGCTAGGCTCAAAAGATGACATTGTGTATTAGTTCATGTATATGGCATTCTCGAAAAGACAAATCCATACGGACAGAGGACAGATCAGTGGCTGCCAGGGTCTAGAGGTTGGGGTAGAGTTGCTGGCTCCAAAGGAGCACAAGAAAATTGGGAAGAGCAAGACAGTATGTTCTAGATCTTAATTGTGTTGGTTACACATTTGCCGAAACCCATAGAAGTTTCCACTAAAAAGAGTAAATTTTACTGTACATCAATTATACTTGAATAAACCCGGTTTCTAAAAATAGAGGGAGGGATCTTGAGCATCGGGAGGCAGTGACCATGTCTATTTTGCTCACCACTAAATTCCTGGCATCCAGAACGCTATTGAATGAGTGAATGGATGGGTATCTAAAATGAGAGCTTTCTTGTTCCAGAGAAGTTATTAACTCTATATTCTGTAACAATTTTTTTTTTTTGTTTTCAGAAAGACAGTGTTGCTCTGTTGCCTAGGCTGGAGTGCAGTTGCATGATTGTAGCTTACTGCAGCCTGAAACCCTTGGGCTCAAGTGATCCTTCTCCCTCAGCCTCCCAAGTAACTGGGACTACAGATGCATGCCATCATGCCTGGCTAATTTTTTTCTTTTTTTTTTTTTTTTGTAGAGATAGGGGTCTCACTATGTTGCCCAGCCTGGTCTCAAACTCCTGGCCTCAAGCGATCCTCCCATCTTGGCCTCCCAAAGTGCTGGGATTATAGGCATGAGCCCTCCACCCCCACCCCACCACCACCACCCAGCCTATAACAATATTTTAATTACACCAAGAAACTTTCCTCCCTCTTTGGCCGGTGGGAGTAGCAACAAAGCGACAAGGTATAGAACAAGAGGAGCGCTTGATTTGTGGGGCTTCTTTCTGCTGTTGAAATGGGAAAGAGATGAATCTAACTCTCAAATGGTCTTTGTTAGTAGAATATGATGTTCAATGGCAATTTTCCCCCAATCGCCTAAAATCAGGAGTGGGTATGAGAGGACCAAGGCAGCGAAAGTGAAGATAAATAACATTTAGTAAGCACCTTCAATGCTCTTGCACTTTACATAGACTCATTTATTTCATTCCCACAGAACACCTCTAAGTAAGGCTTCACACCCACATCTTCTAATGTGGGATCAGAAAAGAAGTGGGCCCTGGTCCTCCTGATGTTCACAACCCTTACCTCTCAGGATCTTCTAAGAGTCACGTACGGGAGAGGCCTGCACACAGAAGGCAGCCAAGAAATTGACGAGAAAGATTCAGGTATTTTTTTAAGCACTAAATGGTTGTGGTAAAGTATTATTTTGGAGGGAAGTGTAGGGGGAGGCAAGGGGAAAAAAGGTTTTTTGTGTAACATCAACAAGTATAAAGTGAAATTTAGGGTTTCTCATCATCCTTGGCTTCTTGTAGCCTCCCCAGACATAACTAATATTATCAGATTTTTCCAGAGATAATTCATACATATATCACATACATATAGATGATATCATATATAACACACTATGATGTTAATAAAATATCTATAATATTTATAATAATATCAAGTGTTAACACACAGTGTTACCACACTATGATGTTAATAAAATATTGATATTTATAATATCTAGTGTTAACGCAAAGTGATATTAGTAAACTAATACATCTACAAATTCTAGTGTTAACACACTGTGATACTAATAAAATATCTATATTTATAAAATCTAGTGCTAACACATGGTGTTAACACACAATGATATTAATAAAATCTCTGTATTTATAATATCTAGTGTTAACACACTATGATATCAGCAAAATATGATATTTATAATATCTAGTGTTAACACATGATGATATTAACAAACTATGATATTTATAATATCTGATGTTTACAGTGTTAACACACTGTGATATTAAGAAAATATCTTGGCTGGGTGTGGTGGCTCAAGCCTATAATCCCAGCACTTTGGGAGGCCGAGACAGGCGGATCACCTGAGGTCAGGAGTTCCAGACCATCCTGGCTAATACGGTGAAATCCCGTCTCTACTAAAAAAATACAAAAAACTAGCCGGGCGAGGTGGCGGGCGCCTGTAGTCCCAGCTACTCAGGAGGCTGAGGCAGGAGAATGGCCTAAACTCGGGAGGCGGAGCTTGCAGTGAGTGGAGATCCGGCCACTGCACCCCAGCCTGGGCGACAGAGCGAGACTCCGTCTCAAAAAAAAAAAACCAAAACTTTATATTTATCATATCTAGTCATAACACACTATGGTATTAAGAAAATATGTGTGATATTTACACAACCTTATGCTAACATACAGTGTAAACACACTATAATATTCATAAAATACCTGTGATAAATATAATATCTAGTGTTAACACACAGGGTTAATACATTATGATACTAATAAAATATCTATGATATTTATAATATCTAAAGTTAGCACACTGTGTTAACGCACTATAATATTCATAAAATATCTATGCTATTTATAATAACTAGTGTAAACACACAATGATATTAATAAAATATCTATGATATTTATAATATCTAGTGTTACCACACCGTGTTAACACACTATAATATTAAAAATATCTATGATATCGAAAATATCTAGTGTTAAAACACACTAAGATATTATAAAATATCTATCATATTTGTAGTAGCTAGGGTTAATACACACTGTTAGCACACTATGATATTAATAAAATATCCATGAGATTTATAATATATAGTCTTAACACACAGGGTTAATGCACTATGCTATTAATAAAATATCTATGACATTTATACTATTTAGTGTTAACATACTATGATATTAATAAAATATACATGATATTTATATTATCAAGTGTTAACACACTATGACATTAATAAAATTTCCATGATATTTATAATATCTAGTGTTAACACACTATGCTATTAATAAAATACCCAGTATTAACACACTATGGTATTAATAAAATATCCATGATATTTATACTATCTAGTATTAACACATGTGATACTAATAATATATCTATGATATTCATAATATCTAATGTTATCACAGGGTGCTAACACACTATGCCACTAAGAAAGTATCCATGATATTTATAATATCTAGTGTTAACACACTAGGATATTAATGAAATACTCATAATATCTCACCCCCCGTGACATTAGGAGTAATATCTCCCTAGGATATTATGAATAATGTTACAGGGTGCCCACACATGATGTACACCTCTGTGACATTAGAAGCAATGTCTCCCTTGGATATTACGAGTAATGTCACAGAGTGTCCACACACGGTGTATACCTCCTGTGACATTAGGAGTAATATCTCCCTAGGATATTAGGAATAATATCACAGGGTGTACACATGGTGTACACTTTCTGTGACATTAGGAGTAATATCTCCCTAGAATATTCCAAATAATATCGAAGGGTGTACACACATGGTGCACACCCCCTGTGATTAGCAGTAATATCTCCATAAGATATTATTAATAATATCACAGTGTGTACACTCCCTGTGACATTAGGAGTAATATTTTCCTAGGACATTATGAATAATATCACAAGGTGTAATCCCCTATAATATTATAGAAGTAATATCCCCCTATAATATTACGAATGATATCACAGTGTGTACACCTCCTGTGATATTAGGATTAATACCCTTTTAGGATATTCTGAAAAATATCACAGGGTGTACACCCACTCTGACATTAGAAGTAATATCCCCCTAAGATATTAAAAATAATATAACAGGATGTACATCGACTGTGAAATTAGGATTAATATCCCCCTAAGATATTATGAATAATATCATATGGTGTACTCCCACTGTGACCAGAGGAGTAATATTACCCTAGGATATTATGAATACTATCACAAGAAGTACACACGTGGTGTACACCCACTGTCACATTAGAAGTAACATCCCCCTAGGACATGCCGAATAATATCACAAAGTGTACACACATGGTATACAACCACTGTGACATTAGGGGTAACATTTCTCTAGAACATGATGAATAATATCACAGAGTGTACATCCTGTGAGTAATATCCTAGGAGTAAAATCCCCATAGGATATTAGGAATAATATCACAGGGAAAGTACACACATGGTGTACACCCACTGTGACATTAGGTTTAACGTCCTCCTAGGATAAGATGAATAACATCACAGGGTGTACACACGTGGTGGACACCCCCTGTGACATCAGGAATAACATCCCTTTAGAATATTAGGAATAATACACAGGGTGTACATCCCCTG